AATGTTTGCTCTGTATTGGATGCCCCTGTTAAGTTTCTGATGTAAAAGACAATTACATTCTTGTATTGTTGCATTATAATTATTTGTTCTAGTGTCTATCTGTATAACCCTGCACACTAACTTGTACTTTAAAAAAAGGGGGGGGGACTTTTATTTTGGAGATACCGTAGGGTGTCTGGCACACGTGTGGAAAAAGGAGGCGCTGGGAAGGTGGTGCCTGAAGTGAAAATAAAAAGTAAAAAAGTTTATTTACATAAAAGATGCATTTTTTTTTTATTAACTCCCTCCCAACAAAAAGCACAAGCAAAACACAAGACATGCCAAAGACACCAACCACTCCAAAGTTCATGTCCTTCCCCCCGACGCCCGTCACAACTGACAACGTTCGGACTAAGTGCCGGGAGCTCCTTGTGGCCGCCTTGAAGACGGACGGTAACTAACGTCACTGCATTCTGACAGCTGTCACTGGTAACCTACATGAAATGACTGCACTGGTGTGTGAAACTAATTTCACGTGTTGTACTGTGATTCAGCTCATTGTAGGTTTATAGGGTTGTGACCAGAATCGAGACTCTTACATTTTATTTTCATCATGACTGTATACAGATAATACTGTCCATTATTTCTGAAATCTTCTGTGTATGCAAGGTTGAGGTCACCTAGTACTGTAGGTTAACATATTTGCTTATTGGTTCTGAATAGCACATTACTGTATATAGGTCCCATTGCCAGTTGAATGGAATAGTAAATTTGTATGAATATTCTCCAGCTTCTACCACTTTAACTAACTCTTGTAGATCATCGGCAAGAAAAGATGCAATAACATTTTCATTTGAGTTACTTAGTTAATTTCTGATAATCTTGGCGGTGTTTACAGTTTTTGCCATGGATTATATGGCCATACCATGTTGGGATGAAACTAATTTTAGCCTAATTTACTTTTTCAGATGATTACAAAACCATTGGAGCAAACTGTGAGCATTTGGCTGCACAGATTGAAGAATATATCCTTTTGCTTTTTCTTAATCATTCTTTGTCCCATTACAATGCAATTTAAATCCCTTCAGTTTACTATTTCTTAACCTTAAAGTTTTCGAACATCCAGTTGACTTTAGGAGTCTGGTTTTAGGTAGATACCTTCTGGATTTGGGCACTAATTCTTTTAATTCGAGATATTTCCACAATGAGCAGAGTCTGTTTAAAAGTGGATTTTGCTCTCTTGATTTGCTTAAGGATGCAGATGGTTAATCCAGTTCTTAGACTTACATCAGCTGTGCCTTTGGGACAGTCCTGAGGTTAGGAGGTTATCGTCTGTTCTGCTTGTGCATATAGTGAATCAAAGTTCAGTAGCTGTCGTCCTTAACAGTTTCCTGGATGCACGCATCTACCAGGACTTCAAATCTACAGACATGAAGTACAAGGCCAGGCTACGGAGCCGGATCTCCAACCTGAAGGACCAGAAGAACCCAGATCTACGTCGCAACGTGCTCTGTGGGAACATCTCTCCAGAGCGCATTGCCACTATGACTGCAGAGGTTTGTGTGCAGCCCACCTTACGATTGACAGTGTGCCGGCATTGTTCAGCAGTATCTACCATTTCTTTGTGTTCTTCAATTGAATAGTATCAGTACAGGGTTATAGGTGTATAAATATTGCATATACGTATAAATACATTGACTTTCAGTGTCCTGTGTCACTAGTGAAATTCATCAGATTAACGTTTTACCATTTGGGTGGGTGTTATGGAGTATGCCGTGCTGTAGGCTGTGTGAGGAGTATATCATCAAGTTGTGGACACACACATGTAGGAAATGGCGAGTGCAGAGCTCAAGGAGATCAGGAAGGCGCTGACCAAGGAGTCCATCCGGGAGCACCAGCTGTCCAAAGTAGGCGGCACTGAGACGGACATGTTTGTCTGCGGGAAATGCAAAGGGAAGAACTGTACCTATACGCAGGTATGCAGTTTAATAAATCACTGCTTTTCATTATTGGTTTGTGCAGTGAAGGACTGATCCTCTTCATGAATGTCCATATGTTTTGCTTCATTTAGCTTCTAGGCTGAAACTGTGTACTGTTAGTGACTTCTGAGCATGGTGTACCTTTCCTGTAACATCAACACGCATGGTGCTCTTCCAGTGCCACCATGAACTGACCAGTACACGAGCCATACCACAAAGAGGCAGTTCTCTATTGTAAATTATGCAAGACTTACCTGTGCTGTATTGGCTCTGTTTACTAGCAGGGCCTAAAGTGTGACTAAACCGAGCTGGTTGTGTCGGCACCATCTGATTGGTCGATATGCGTGGATTGCCTGAAGGAAAAAAGAGCATATTCTATATCCTGTATTATTCATTATTAGTAGTATCGCACATTGTGATGTATTGATGCATTCCCGATAATTCTGAAAACTTCCCACCTCCTGCTTAAAAAAAGTACTATAGAATGGCCGAATGGAGTCTATTTGTAATGCAAATTTATGCAAGCGAATGCTAATTCTGCTAGCATTTGATGCTGACATAAGTCATCGCGTACACTGTGTGAATACAGACGCTCTTCTACTTATGAACTTTCAAATTACGAACTTTCAAATTACGAACTTTCAAATTATGAACTTTCAGACATACGAACGAAGAGGACTGCAAGTCCAAATTGTGTTCATTAGGCTCCCATTTCCTGTCCGCAACATCAATTTTTTTATTTTTCTGTATGCAAGATGCCAATTCCGCCTAGTACAACTTCTGCCCGCTACTCCCACCGCGCAGCAGCGTTGCGTGCGTTCTCCCAGCACCCTTTGTTACTTGTAGTTGCGTATACCCTTAAAATAATGTTGCATAACGACTTACGTTCTGAACGGCCATTCGTAACTTGAAATGTTCGTATCTCATTCATAAGTAGAGGAGTGTCTGTACTAAATAAGCATCTCTTTGGTTTTACGTCACTGTCGCTCTCTTAACCCAGCAACGCCTTTACAAGGCCGGCCCTTCTGCAGTGGAAAATCAAAGTGAGCTGGAACTGCACTGTAACTAGTGTCTCTTTGTGGTATGGACCAGGTGTACAGCCTGCTTCCTGTATTCCACTGGAAAAGCTCCCTTAGTTATTCACCTCGCCTTTAAAGTAAAGTTGGAAGTTCTGTAGCTTCTGCCTGTAGGTCATGAGCATTGCATTCAATAATGTGCTTACAGGTCCAGACACGCAGTGCAGATGAACCCATGACCACATTTGTGTTGTGTAACCAGTGTGGGAACAGATGGAAGGTAAGTCGCTCGGAGGCATCAGGTTACTTATTGGTGTAAATGGCTCTTTTAAGTTATGTGATCATTAGTATTTCATCAGGGATATAATGCATGTTATAGTAAAACTGCCAAAACTTTTATTGGTTGTTGTATTAACTAGGTTTTATTTGTTTGCTGCTCCGCTCCGCCCTACCATGCGGGTTTTCAACATTCATTTTTTAAAAGCTGTAAAATAATCACAAGTGTGTTCTGGGTTAATTTATTTAAAGATGTACGCAGCACGACTTTTGCTGTAAAGGTTGAAACTTCTGTCCTCCTCTCTCCTTAGTTCTGCTAAGCCATGATGCTTTTGTTCCAAGAGCCAACAGGATGGATAACGGAAAGTTGCTTTGTTATATATGCAGATTTTTTTTTCATCACGATTTTTTATAAACTAAATTTAATGCTAGAGTTTAATACTGCATCTAAGCTGCGATTTAGGTGTGTGTGTGTATGTGTGTGTATGTGTGTGTATGTGTGTGTGTGTGTGTGTGTGTGTGTGTGTGGTTTTTTTTCCCTCTCCCCTTAAGGCCATGACATCTTGAGCAGCTTTGGTTGATGTTTTTTGCTTCTGATCAGGTCATGTAATCTTATTTTGCCGCCTTAAACAAGTTGTGCCTTTTTGTATGACTGACATTGTACATGGTTCAACATGATCTGATGTTTAACAAAGTGTTGTGTTAAAATGTGTATATTGTGGCCCCTCCCTCCTTGAGTAAACAACACATTTCCAATTTGCCGAGTTCTACAATAAAATGGAAGTGGTGTCATGCATCTTTATAAATTTCCTTGAGTAGCATGATTTTTATTTCTTCCTTTTATCATGAAGATGGTGTGATTATATCATATTTAGGTTGATTTCAAAATAGTTTAATGCTTTACTTTGACCTCTAATATATGGTTCTGGTCTGGTTGCAAATTAAATGTAGGAATGCTTTTCTGCCACTAGATGGCTTGTGAGGAGCATCTGCTTTGGTACAAGCTGTTAATGAAATAAGGCTCTAACTGATTGTTATGAAGATCTGAATTAAAAAATGAAACAACTGCTAATGCTGGACCTATGGTCAGTGTCATGAAATCATGAAACGCCTAGAATACAAATGTCAGTTAATATGTGATGTGAATAGCTGAAGTGATGTTTTCACACAGAATCAAACACTGGTGGATAATTAAGAGAACATTATTATTATTATTATTTTAATAAAGTAAATTCTGAGAGAAGGTTAGGTGTTTTGAAATTGTATTTGACTGATGGTTTCTGTAATGAATTCTTCCAGGCAATGTTTTCAGCCAGTATATTAACAGACCAGCAGGTAAGCTAAGGTTATGACAAGCATTTGGGATGTTTGAGAGCAAGGAATTGAATCAGTGCAGTTGTATGTTGGGATGGAAAGATTTATGGGTAAGTGAAAGTTTAGATTTCACTATACTTGTCAGGATGCACACCATTGCTCCAGTACAGCTGCTGAAACGGCAGTCCTTTGTTAAGCGATGTGGGTGGGGTTATCATGCGTGTCTGGACATATACTTTGCAAAAAGGGGGATCATTGCTAGATAAGAGGAATTTAGAACCATTAAGAACTTGCTGAATGCAAAATATGTAGTAATATTGTTTATGCCATTTAGAATAAGCTCCCAAGGTGATTCTCGTGTTTAATAACCATGCGTTTGCTTCAAAGGCAGGAATCGAGCTTTTAGTGGATTTTGAAATGCTTCAAGTTTTATACTACAATTATAATTACAGGCATCTAGGCTTGGGATCTGTCTGTGTTAAAATCATTAACTAATGCCAATGGGACTTGACCTATATATTAAATCACTAAAATTGTTTCCTTTGTGACTTTTTAGCCATTAGGATTATTAGTCCAATGAAACTGAATAGCTGCAAGAAACTGCAAATTATTTTAATATGTTTTAAAAATGCGCAAACATACCCAAATGAATGTTTATGTGTCTGTCACTTGGATTTACTTGGCTGACGTGGAGACTCAGTGGGTAGTATTGTGGTCTCCCACCTTTGAGATTGCGGTTTTGCCCCCCCTGCACGGTCTATGTCTCTCTGGGGTGATTTTCCTTCCCACAGCCTGAAAATGCATGTGTATCCCCTGAGTTTTCTGACTCTCATAAGGTAGATGAGATTAATCCACTCATGGATCCACTGCCCCATGTCTGAAAGCTCTTTGGTGTGAAGTTTAGTTTAATGACTATATGAAATTGTATTGGCTATCAAGGTTTTTATCATTTCTTACTCATTTGCCATGCGACTGAATTGGCTAGTGTCAGCCACATTATTATGTGATGTATGTAGTGATCTTTTGATACGTATCAGAACATTAAAGAGGATAATTCTGTGGAAGCTACATGTCTGTAGGTGAAATGATTTGTGTTATTGCACTTGTGGTGTGTTTTTCCACTGGTAACCATGCGTTAAAATGACCAATATGAAACTAAATTACTCCTCATGGTCTGTTTTTTCTTTATTAGCTTGTGTGTATACATTTTTTGTCCATAGTGTATTATTCTTAGAGCACTTATATGGTGCAATACCTAATATATACAGTACCAGTGAAAAGCTTGGACACACCAAGCCGCCTACAAAGGAGAGCGTTAGTGTCGCACCACATGACCTGACCACCTGACCTAAACACCGTAGAAATGGTTTTGAAGGAGCTTTACTAGAGAGTGAAGGGAAAGCAGCCAATGAGTGTTCAGCATACATGTGGGGCCTCCTGCAGGACAGGAAAGCTTCCCAGGAGGCCGCCTCATTAGAACTGGCATAGAGAGACAGTGGGGTCAGCCGGTCCCTGGGCCAATTGGGGTTAAGGGCCTTGCTCAAGGGCCCAGTGGAGGGATCCCTCTGCCGACCCAGGGATTTGAACTGACAACCTTCTGAGTCCCAATCCAGAAAACTGCCCCCTCCCAACAAATTATTTTTTTTTTTACAAAATGTTAGTGTGAATATTTTCTGTAAATGCCACTGTTGTCCTTGGTCTTTGTTTGTCACTGGGTGACCAAAGCTGAAGTCACAGCAGGGCTGGCATCAGGTGAACAGCATTAGTGTGCTGTTATATTTCTTAAATAGCCATACCATGAATATCTGCTTAAAAAAAACGAGACCTCCAGCAGGAAGACGGATCATTGTGATTACTAAGCAACCCATCCGCAGAGATTGTTGCACCTGAGATGTCCCCCTCTGGGGCTCAGATATGGTAAATAATGACAAATAGCATTTATTTATATTCTGGTAACATATCTCTGTCTCCAATAGGTGCGGACAGCAGATGGATAACTGGCTGCTCTTTAGTTTCAAATGTGAAACTGTAAAAGGGTTTCTTTTATTTAGCTAACATTTCAGAGATGCAAGGCTCGTGGTAAACCTGCCGCTTTCTCTACTGCTCTTGGGTGCCGATGTAACCTTAGCAAAGACTCACTGACATACGCATTTCAAGCGTAAATAGTTTGACTGAATAATTCCTTATTGTCACTCATTGATGACACCCATCTCCAAGCTGTTTATCTAGTACAGGCTGATTTCTGACCAACTGTCTGCAAATAATAAGGGATGGGTGATTCCTGTGGGTGATTCTTGCAGAAATTATGACATAAATTCATGTTTTATACTATAGGGAGCTGCACTGAGTACTTTTTTTTATTTTTTATTACGTGTGGATATCTGTCTGCGTGTTGTTCCCCATTCCTAGCGGAATGCAGGAACTATTTTCTAAGCATCAGTGATTCATTGGAAATTAATATACTGTATGTACCCCATTTAGTGTCTCCTTTTGATGGAAAACTGTAACATTTCTCCAAAATCTTCAAGGTCTTCAATCATGGTGCTTGTAATATGTTTTAGACACATGAGATATATTTTTTGTGATGAGGTGGTAATTCTGGTTTAAGACTACTCAGAAAATAAGATGAATTTAAAGTTTTATGCTTGATATCACAGATAGTTTCTCCAAAGGTACCAAACACTATGCCACTTTTACTGAATATTGAGTAATTTTGCTGATCATAAATGGTACAGGTGGAGAGTTTGTGGCTTTGTAAAGCCCAGTTTAAGTGATTAGAACTGATGTGTGAAAGAACATTAACAAAACAGGATGCATGAATACAAAGTTCTGATACTCTGAGGCCTCATATGAATTAAACTGAGGGTGAAGAAAACAAACAGAATTACCTGATATCAACTCTTATTCTCAACAGATACCTCATTGAATGCAGTACAAACCAGTAGCACTTTAGAACTCAAGAGGACCTTTCATGAAACCTTCTTAATGACTTCATTAGCTCTGAATCCATTTTCTGAAGCACTGTTAGAGTCTAAGGCCACTCAAGAACTTTTCCTCCTTGTGTCTCTGCAGGTTCAAACAACCATCCATTCATCACATGGATTTAATTAAACGGTACTGTCTATTTTTGAGCTGTTTATCCTGACCAAGTAGGGCCAGGAGTTTATCTCAGGTAGCATGGGGTACAAGGCAGAGGTAAGGCACCCTGGGTAGGATGCTATGCTTTATTAACACACACACACACACACACCACAGACATGATGATTAGCTTAGAAAGGAGTAATCATGCAAGCTCCACACATACAGTACAGAGGTGTGATATGATCCTGTAACTGAGAAAGAATGAGACAACAGTGCTGCATGTTACAGTCTCTAAATGATAAAATACACCATATATCTCTGCTTTACATGTTTCCACAGTGTGACAATTATGCGCCTAAACGTACAAACACCTCACTTTAGAATTACCCTTGAAGTAGAGGGTAATACTGTTTAACATAAAATGTTGGAAAACTGTTATTTAAAATGGCCATAAACTGTCCCCCACACTGGGTGTTCCCATGCCTTACACCCTGTGTCTGGTGGGATTTACTCCAGGCTCATTGTGACAATGCTTTGAATCAGCTGTATGGAAGATGGATGGATGTTCATACCAATTTATACCTGGAATATGAATCTATTGTAACTGCTATCACTATCCACCCTAAATCTGAGTGGGGTTAATATCACCATCCACCCTAAATGCGAGTGGGGTTAATATCACCATCCACCCTAAATGCGAGTGGGGTTAATATCACCATCCACCCTAAATGCGAGTATCACTACCTGCCCTCTCCTGTCAGTGGGGCTTAATCACTATCTGATCCTCACAAGGCAACGCAGAACCTATCAGTAGGTTATACTGTTTAGGTTCACTAAGAGGAATGTCAAAAGTAAGATTGCATTGAAGGCTAAGAATTACCCTTGAAGTAAAGAGGATCACACTGTTTAACATAAAATGTTGGAAAACTGTTATTAAAAATGGCCATAAACTTGCCCCCCACACTGGGTGTTCCCATGCCTTATACCCAGTGACTGGTGGGATTGACTCTAAGCTCATTGTGACAATGAGAACAGGCACATTAAAAGTTTCTCCCAATATTTTAAGTCCAAAAGAGCTCAGAAAGCAGAAATCAGGATCTGCAGGACAGTAAGGGTCTTATAATTGAAAATCAGCAGTATGGAAGATAGATGGACACAAGTAACATACCGACTCTTATTATTAATAATCCAGCGTCGTCTATGACTAGTATATGTATAAGCGAAGCTGAAGTGCTACAAAGCTTAGCTAAGCTCAAAATATATCGCAGGGCCCTGATGGCATCTTACCTATAGTTTTAAAAGAGATGAGGGATATTATTAGCCAACGTTTAACTTTACTATTTCAGAAATCCTTATCTGCTGGTGTGGTACAGTACCTTCTGATTGGAAGCATGCTATAACGCACATATTCAAAAAAGGGGATAGAAGTAATCCATCAGAATATAGGTAAATTAGTTTAACTTATAACTGGGAAAGTAATGGAAGCTATAATCCAAGCGAAAATGTTAGATTACCTGGATTCAAATAACATTCTGAATTTCTGAGGGATAGCCAACATGGATTTAGGAGAGGTAGATCCTGTTTATTTAATCTACTTGAGTTCTTTGAAGAAGCTACAAGACAAAATTGGTCGCAAAAAGGCCTATGATGTGATCTACTTAGATTTCCTTTGCTGTTGGCCCCCACAAACAGCTCCTGCTTAAGATCAAAGCAGCAGGAATTCTAGGAACTGTAGCAGCTTAGACTGAGGACTGGTTTAGCAGACAGGAAGTAGCAAGTATTATTAGAGGCACAATGTCACAGTGGGCCTGTGTTCATAGTGGGGTACCGCAGGGTTAAATTTTAGGGCCACTGTTATTCCTCATTTAAATTAATGATATTGACACCAATGCATACAGCAAACTGGTTAAATTTGCAAACGACACCAAGGAGGCTGAATACAAACCAGCAAAAGAGAAAACATGCCTGCAAATTTGAAAACATGCCAGCAAAAGTAAAAACACGCCAGCAAATTCCAAAACATGACAGCAAAATTAAAACACGCCAGCAAATTCAGAAACATGCCAGCAAAAGCGAAAACACTACAACATTAGTGGCACTGAAAACGGAAAGGGTATGTACCCACTAGTCATCAGATGCTTGTTACTGATTGGACAGGGAGCCTGTCAATCAGCATCCCAGCATCTTACAGGGCTTAGTGTTTTCGAATTTGCTGTCGTGTTTTCGAATTTGCTGGTGTTTTTGCTTTTGCTGGCGTGTTTCTGAATTTGTTGGTGTGTTTTGCCCTTCAGTGCCTCCGTAAGAAAGACCTCGGTGTGTATGTTAATGTTTCCATGTCCCACTCTCGCCAGTGTGGGGAAGCAATAAAAAAGGCCAATAGGATGTTGGGTTACATCTCTAGGTGTGTGGAGTTTAAGTCAAGGTTATACAATTCCTTGGTAAGACCCCATATAGAATATTGTGTGCAGGTTTGGTCACTATACCTTAAAAAGGACATTGCTGCCTTAGAAAGGGTTCAACGTAGGGCTACAAGAATGATTCCTGGTCTTAGAGGAATGTCTTATGAGGAGATGTTAGTTCAGCTGAATCTGTTCGGCCTCGAGCAAAGAAGACTAAGGGGGGACATGATCCAGGTATATAAGATTCTAACAGGTCTGGATGCTGTCCAACCAAACAGTTACTTCAATATTATTTCAAATACAAGAACTCGTGGCCATAGGTGGAAATTAGTGGGAGAACATTTTAAACTGGATCTGAGAAAGCATCTTTGCACATTGTGTAGTTAGAGTATGGAATAGTCTTCCTGTTAGTGTAGTGCAAGCTAAAACCCTGGGTTCCTTTAAATCAGAGCTAGATAAGATTTTAACAATTCTGAGCTATTTGTTGAGTTCTCCCCAAACAAGCTTGATAGGCTGTATGCCCTCCTCTTGTTTGTAAATTTATGTTCTTATGTTTAAAAGCTAAGCTACATCTAAATGGTACATAACAGGCGAATGTGATACATATTTTACTGTAGCTCAAATTTCATTATTGCTAATTTTAACAATTACAGTGTTACACTGAAATTATGCAGCTCATCTTACTCATAAAAGATCATGCTTCCCCTCTGATCTTTTTGCTGAAATGGTCGGCCAATGGACACTTGTGTTTTACAACCTGGGGTATATTTAAATGTACTTCTTAGAAAAGTACAATAAGAGAAAAGGACTGGCTCTTCCACTACAGAACAAATACACTTACAAAAAAGAAAAGAGAAATGTTGTGGCAGGATCTGAAGCATAGCATGAAATTAGGTTCATACCAATTTCAATCCTGTCAACTGGGCCAACTGGCATTATAAAATCAATGCCGGTGGCAAATTTGAAAATAAGAGTTTGAGCTGCCTTGTCTGGCACTTTGTGGGTGATAGACAGAGAGATATAAATCAAGGAAAACCTGCTTCAACTGAGTAAACCTGCTATGACAATTTTGCTGTTCTTTTGCTCCTTCTCAGACACAAGAATCTCCACACCGATACTTGAATGATAACACAAACTCCTTTATTATTATCAGTATATATATATATATATATTAAAAAAAAAACATTCAGCAATTGAATCCAACTTTATGGTAACACAGCAGAACAGATTAAGGTCAGGATCAGGTAGGACCAGCAGGAGTTGACATTGTGGAGACTCTGCTTGAGGCCCAGCTTCGTGTGGCAGGGCAAATAGCACCAATGAGGTTGGTTTCCAGATCATCACAAAAAATAAAGAAAAAACAAAAACAAACAAATATATTTGTAAGTTTGGCCCTGACTTCTGAGAAAAAAAAAAAAAGTAGAGGCACGGGCTGAACATGAATAAATGACAATGTAATAACCCATAGCTACTGCTTTTCATAGCACTGTGTTGTCGTGGCTGTAACAGGTAGTGGAGAAGTAGAGAGCACAAAGGGAAAAAAAATGTGATGGATTAGTTTACAGAAATACTGCCGCTCACTTGTACTGCACTTTGTGTGGAAAATAGTTGTACGATGAGCCTTTGTAAAGGAGCCTCTGATGAAGGTGTACACTGATGTATACTCTAATTTTTTATATCACTAATATTACCAAGAACAGAGAAAGACAAAAAAAATTAAGTATGAAAGTATGTATGGTATATTTCAGACATGTGTGTGTATCGGTGTACACACTTCCTCACACACACACACACATGCTCCCTTCACCTACCACAAAAGGCTGTCTGACACTTCCAGCTCAGGGGACAGGGATGTGTAAACATGAACAGGCCTCCACATTCCGAGTTTTCCTCTCTGCCTGCCTGGCTTTTGGATGGAGGGGAGGTGACATGAGGCAGCATCACGGTAAACACAACGCAGCCATGTGACAAGTGTGGCGATGGCTGTCGGTGTGAAGTGGACGTTCACCTATTCGCACGGCGGCAGAGTGTGCAGAGCCGGGGTTTTCATCTGACACGACAATACGGCAATACGGGAATGATCACAGATCCCCATAATACTCCCTCATGGTCAAATCACAATGTGCTGGAACCTTCCTTTGCCACTCGGACATGGGCAGGCACACAGGTATATTTCTTATTGAAAAATCAGAATAAAAATGGAGAATACGGTCCTAAGTATAGTGGAGAAACCACCAGCACAGTGATTTATGATGCAGGCTCAGGAAAGCTTCCTCTTCCCTCACTTGTATGACGGGCTTCTTGTGTGTGACCTTCTGTGCTGCGCATGTGTGCCTGCGGGCGTGCAGCAGGGGGTGCTGTGGAGCAGCACACAGCTGTACAGATGGTTGCAGTCCGGGAGTTGGCTGCTGTGTTGCCCAGGTGTCAGGTGGATGCAGGTCTGCTCTCGCCTGTGCCGGGACCCCAACCCCCACCCTGGACTCTCGCCACAGAAGTCGGCAGACTGAAACATTGCAATTCCGTTCAACCAGGCCAGACCATTTCATCACACTGGATAACCAAGGCTTTACTAAATATATGTTTATATATATATTTTCATATAAACATACATATATCTAAAAATAACATCATGCACAATTATTAAATCTTCTCAGCACAAAAACAATTATACATCCAAGCACTTGTCACTCTATAAAATAACAGCATTAAAAACTGCAATACTCCTTTCTTGTAAAATGCATTTAAATAAACATCTTATTATGATTGTGTTAAATGTAACATCATATGAACTATAGATCTGCTTATATAAAATATATGAAAAAATATGTACCTGGGACCATGCCCAGGATAACTATGGGTGTAAGAATATATATCTGTAAATAAATTCTATATGCCTATAGCTTTATGCAATATACTAACTATACATGTTTTACTGTAGGTAGAAAGGAAGATTGCAATTTAAAATCCTGAACTGTAAACAGTAAGCAGACTTCCCTCTGCTGCAGTCTGATCTGCGACTATCCATGGCACTGAGTATGAACACCATAGCTATGCACCATCTGAAGCCAGGCAGTGAAAACGAGTCGCTACAGTATACTACTGTATCTCCCGCTGCTCCCAATGGCAGCCCATTTGATTTCAGACACAATCCTTCACATCTTCATTTGCTAGTGAATGGCTAAGGAGAGGATAAAAGATCAGCTTTTAATTAAACCAACCCAAAATGCAACGTCCTAGGAACCCTTATTGCATTTCTAGTGTGTTGATCGGGAAATGAAATACCTACAGTAGCAGCAATAAATCAAAATGTGAAGTTAATGAAAGAGTTACTTTGTTGGAGCTGACTTAATTCATTTAGTCATTTTTATGTTCGATATACAGTTGGTTCAGTGACAATAAGTGAAATTTATGTGTTAAGTCAATTGTCAATTGAACAGTAAGAATGGGAAGTACAAATCATTGCGAAAGGTCAGAGTATCATGCTTTCTTAAGCTCATTTTAATGCCCATTTGAATGGAGCCATGACACTTTTTTTTGTTGCCCACGCTCTGTCCTGGATACAAAGTGCCTCACTTGGATCCCACATGCTGTCTGAGCGTCTGTGCACACACAGGCCAGTGTCTAGAGGAGGGGGGAGTGTAATTTCGAGAGGTGATGTGAACACAATGCATCAACTAGCTGTGTATCTAAAACAGCTTTCCCAAGTCATATGTGGCTCAGCGTCCCTGAACACGGAAGCTGGATGCCTCATACACTGAAGAATATAAGGGACTCTACTCTGATGGCTAGCATGGCTGTTCCCTTATAGAAAACCAATATATGTAAAGAAATTCAATAAGGAATATAATACAGATTTATTTATCTTCATAAACATTTATATAAGAATGTTATTTTTTCCAGGATGTCAAAATCATTGTAATACAATATATTTTAAATATACACATTATTGCCACTTTCAAAAATGCAAAAAATGCAGCATACATTGTTAAATCGTACATTTTTATACATTTTACAACATATATGTTCTTACATATATGATCCCATGTATAAAAATGGCAATAATAGATATATTTGTAATGTACCTGTAAGAACCATGTTTTTTACATATCTAACATATCTAATAAACATATCTAACTTTTCATAAGGGCTGAGACCCAGGGGCTCACAGTGTCAGGACCAGACTATGACAGATAGCTTCTGTATCACTGGGAACTACCAATTTCATCATCACGTCCATTTCGACAAAACAGAAGTGGGAAAAGTGGCAGATTTTGTCAATAAAGGGTTTTTGCTTTTTTCTTTGTTTTGTTTGTGCCAAATTTATATATTTTTTTTTTGTCAGTAAGCAGCAACTACACGGAACTGTAGTTTGCTAATGCACAAAAATTTATTTTGATTTTTTTCTAACCAACCTCTAAAAGAATAAAAATGGCTACTATTTACAAGGAAACATGTAACACCTGGATAAAAAGTTAGGATGGTGGCTCAGAGAGAAAATGAATTGTCACGCTTCAACAGTAACAGAATGATGGTCAATGCAGAATCACCTTATGCTCAGTGTAAATACACACAAATAAGATTAAAACAGCAAATCCTAAACTGTGCTGAAACTATCTGGTGTTCCGGCAATGCTTGTTTTGCAGTTTCGGCTCCACACTAGACCGATAAGCATGCCCTGACAATTTCTGTCTGGAGGTAATCAACGATCGATTATTGAATTTGCTATTGATAAGCTTTTTCCTGCTGGGGAGGCCATACCCAGGCACAATACTGACATTGTGATGGACACGGCTGACTTGACCAATGGATAATAATTGACCAATGGATAATAAGAGGAGGGCCTCAAGATACGAGTGCACTCCGCCAGACTAGCCTGAACAGGACTTTAGCAGACGGCATTTGAATAAACCAGTCGGATGGATTTCTTACAAGTCAAAGTGTGTCTAGTCTCTCTTGGGACAAGGCAGAGAGAGGAGAGCACACCCGTTGTTGCAAGCCATACATTCAAACATAGGCCTACAAATAAAATAAAGCCTTTCTTGTATTTTATGCGTACCACTGTGGAATAATAAACCAGCAGACCCAAATTTTAACAGAAAGTGCAATATGGAGAAATACTATTATTACTAGCAATATATTATACTGCAGTAGTATTGGAACGACACATATTGGTTGTATTTTTTTAAATGAGCCTTTTGGCCAGTACCCATAGGAATGGCTGTGATCCCTACTGAGAGTGCGAAGAGTGTATCCTTTTGTTTGTGTTAAAGGGGTCAAACCTTAAACACACAGGGAGTCACGGGGAGGGGGGGTTCTCCTAAAATTGAGGCACCCAGTGTGGTGGGTAAATAAGTATGTAAAATCATGTATGACAGTGACAAGCAGCTGGGGTCACACAATCTCTACCGGTGAACTCTAAGGAACTGTGTTTATATTTAACAAAAAACACTCCCGGTATCGTTTCTGTGTGTCTGACACACAGCTCAGTACCACTGTCATTAGTACCAATTAAAAAAAATACAGGAAATGAATTTGTGCATTAAAGAAAATAAATAACATCAATAACACTTCTCAGAAACATACTTGACATTCTAGAGGAAACAGTGATATTAGTTTTTTCTTTCATTATTTAGACTTTTCCTTAGGCGCTTGAGTACAATCATTGGGTTTGCAAACCTACAAACCATTCTTGGCCACCTTGAAGTTTTTGACCACAGACCTCTCAGCCCCCCCCCCCACTGCAGCTAAATCTTCCCAATCAATCCCAGTAGAAAGACAGTGGAAAGGTCAGATTAAACAGATCACAACAGAATCCCAGTCCAGTGGTCATGCTCTGAACCACTCCAGCATATACTCCTGTGCCTTATTGCCGAGCATCGGGGGACCAACACATACATATCAATATATATTCAAAAAATACTACTAATAAAATAATAATAAAATAAAACGTACAAAAATGTATAAATCAGTAGTACTGTAGATGTAGTAGCTGTAACTGCAGTGGAATGAGAAAACGAAAATGTCTTCTGTTAATGACCCTGTGTCTTCCAGTTAAAGTCTGTAGATTTGGTAAATCCCACCAATAACAGGGCATTTTCTAAAGTGTGGGGGAATAGCAAAAATTCAATAATAACAATAGTAATACTACTAATAATAAGAAGAATCCCCTACTGGAGGATTTTCTTTTAGTGGTTGTGCAAAAGGGAATTGAAACAGAGAGACAGTGAGAGAAGGGGAGGTGAGAGTAGTGGACCTATGACTCAGAAGGTGGGCGAGATGCCTCCTGCAGCAGGGATTTGTATATAGCGCAGTTGAGGAACCTGGGGTAGGAGTCTCTGTGCATGAGAGTGTAGATCTGAAGCTGAGCATCCTCAAACGTGAAGGGAGTGGGCTCCTGCATCTTCTTGTTGATGACCTCTCTCACCCTGGAGTCCAGACTCACCTGCCATGAGAGGGAATAAGAAAGATTGCAGTTTAAGATTTCAAATTATATTTCATATTGCTTTCCCCATCCTGGAAGAAGAGGTCTGGCCTGATTTATGGATTATTTACTTATTAATCAATTAGAATAAGCATACTTTATGTTCCCGACATTCACACTTGAATGTAAACACAAAGATTATACACCAAAAATGTTTTTATGATGTGTTAATTTAGATTAATGAAGTATATATAAATATTATAGCACACACTTTACAGTATGAGATATGAATTGACATCACAGGAAATCATGGGACTGTTTTGCTAGTTTATATTTAGTAAGTAATATGGGATCATGTATATTGAAGATAGACAGGCATTTTCTGCTTTACGAATGTTCACGTTACGCCACTTTGCTTTTCACGAAAGACCTACATTAGCACATTTTTGCTAACTGAATGAAATCCGAAGAGGTTTTTCACTTTTATGAAAAAAAGAACCAAAATGAAGAAAAGACAACCAAAATAAAAAAAATTATAGTTTAACAAACAAACAAATAAAAGCAAAAATTAATTATGGGTTGGCCGAATGCCCGGCAGTGCTACCCTACTTAGTGCTTGCTGTGCACTGTATGATCGCTGCCATGAGAAAGTACAGTACGTGGTATAACTGATCAATCGTAATAAAAATAATAAAAAACTACAGAATCATGTATTTAAATGTATTAAAAATCTATCAAATTTCTGAAATGTTTGCTGGCTTCTACCTGTACTGGGTGAAAATATGAAGTGGGGCTCTAAGGAGAATGGTATGTATTGAGACACCCCTTCCTCATTCCAGAATTCCACCCAGACCACCCAAACTGACAGGAATCTTAGTGATATGAAAGAAAACAGAGCAGTGTGGGCTAGGAATGAATGGGAGGCTATGACTTGTGGTTTTACACCACAAGATATGGACAAATTTGTTGGTACCCTTACAGCTCACTGAAACAATGCTTAATTTCCCCAGAAAAGTGGTTCAATTAAAAGCAATTGTCTAATGTATACCTGCATGCCTTTAGTATGTGATAGAACCAATAAAATTGTAAAAAGAAATTATTTGTTTTTTATTTTACAAAGATATGCTAAAATAGTATGGACAGATGTGTTGGTACCCATAAAGAGACTATTTATCCTTGCATTAGTCATGTATCAGACTAAGCGTTTAACTTTAATTAGTATCACAGGTGCCTTCAAACTTTTCATCAGCCATTCAGCCTATTCAAAGGGAAAGAACATGCTAGTGTGTTGTTTGGTATCGTTGTATGCACCACACTGAACATGGACCAGAGAAAGCAAAGGAGAGAGCTGTCTGAGGAGCTCAGAAAGAAGATTATAGATATCTAGGGTGTAACAAGATCTCGTGTGACAAGATCTCGCGATATTACAACATGACAAAATTTCTCGTCGAAGTGAAAAGCGGTCTCGCGAAGGCGCTGCAAATTACCTGCTGTAAGCATGTAAGATGCCCCAGCCACTTTTAAATCTTTTGTGTGGCAGCATTTTGGTTTAACCGGCGGGAAATATGAACGGTGAAAGGGTGCAAGCATTGTAGGAATATAATGCCGTTCACAGCGGCTAACGTTACTGCTATGCAAAGCCATTTTCAGCACCATCATAGCTCTTTACTTAAACCCACTGCACCGGTGAAGAAAACATTAAAGGGCCAGACAATGCTTACAAATGTGTTTGTACCCCAGCTTTCACAGTCAAGTGCTAGAGCCACTTCAATAACAAAGGATATCGGCGTTTTCATTGCAGCCGACATGAGACCATTTTCTGCAGTAGAAAATCCGGGGTTTCGGCGACTCAACACATTAGAGCCGAAGCATTTTCTTTCAAATTAATCAAATAAAAGGCTGTTTTCCAGTAATATATTTCCTCTTTGAAGTTTTCCTCAAAATATTGTTAAAAAATTGTCTCGTCTTGTTCTCGTGAACCCAATATCGTGTCTCGTCTCGTGGGCGTATATCGTTATACCCCTATAGATTACCATGTTACAGGTAAAGGTTATTAGACCATCTCCAAGCAGCTTCATATTCCTGTGACCACAGCTGCCAATATTATTAAAAAGTATAAGGTTCATGGGACTTTAGCCAACCTCCCAGGACGTGGATGCATAAGAAAATGCAACCCTGGGATGAACAGAATGATGATGGTAGAGAAAGAGCCAAGGAAACCATCCAAAACCATTCAAGCTGAGCTCCAAGGTCAAGGTAGGTCACTTTCTGATCACACCATCCGTCACATTTTGAACAATGATGGGCTCCGTGGAAGAAGACCCAGGAGGGAGGACTTCACTATTGACAGCATAAAAAATCCAAAGTAGAATGCACCAAAATGCATTTTGACAAGCCCCAAAGTTTCTGGGAGAATGTCCTTTGGACTGATGAGACAAAACTGGAGCTTTTTGGCCAGTCACATTAGCTCTATGTTTAAAAAAGGAAGAATGAAGCTTTAAAAGAAAAGAACACAAACCTACTGTGAAACATGGAGGGGGCTCAGTTTTGTTTTGGGGCTGCTTTGCTGCATCTGGCACGAGGAACCTTGAATCTGTGCAGGACACAATGAAGCCTCAAGACAACCAAAGGCATCCTGGTGGGAAACATACTGCCTAGTGACAGAAAGCTCAGTCGCAGGTCAAGGGTCCTCCAACAGGATAATGACCCAAAACATCCAGCTAAAAACACTTAAGAATGGCTGAGAAAAAAACATTGTACTATTCTCAAATAGCCCTCAATGAGCCCAGATCTTAATCCTATTGAACATCTATGGAAAGATCTGAAAATTGCAGTGTGGAGACGCCACCCTTCAAACCGTGAGATACCTTGAGCAGTTTGCTCAGGAAGAGTGGGCCAAACTACCTGTTGGCAAATGCAGGCGTCTCATTGTGAAGTAGAGATCGCTTGTTGGCAGTGATTGCTGCGGAAGGTGGTGCCACAAAATACTAAATTACGGGTACCATCTTTTTTTGTCTGTGTCATTTTCATTTGTTTAATCATAAAAAAAAAATTCAACTGAATCAATAATCAAAAGCTGTCTAATTTGGGTTAAATATAGAATAAACAATAAGTGATGCCATTAAACTTTTGGCAGTTTTAAGTTATTTCAGAGATTATGTTTTTCTTTTGTACACCTCTGTATATACGTATATCCCATTCTTAATACATAGGCTTTAATATGGAGTTGGCCCACCCTTTGCAGCTATAACAGCTTCAACTCTTCTGGGACGGCTGTACACAAGGTTGAGGAGTGTGTTTATGGGAATTGTTGACCATTCTTCCAGGAGAGCATTTGTGAGGTCAGGCATTGATGTTAGACGATAAGGCCTGGCTCGCAGTCTCCTCTATAATTCATCCCAAAGTTGTTCGATCAGGTTGAGGTCAGGGTTCTGTGCAGGTTAATCACGTTCCTCCACACCAGACTTGTTCATCCATGTTCTTATGGACCTTGCTTTGTGCACTGGTGCAGTCATATTAGAACAGGAAGGGGCCATCTCCAAACTGTTCCCACAAAGTTGGGAGCATGAAATTGTCCAAAGATTCTTCAAATGCTGCAGTATTAAGGGACCAAGCCTAACCCCTGAAAAACACCCCCACATCATAATCCCCCCTCCACCAAACTTTAAATTTGGCACAATGCAGTCAGGCAAGTACCATTCTCCTGGCAACCACTAATCCCAGACTCGTCCATCTGGCTGCCAGACAGAGAAGCCTGATTCGTCACTGCAGAGAACACTGCTGTAAAGTCCAGTGGCAGTGTGCTTTACACCACTGCATGCGACACTTTGCATTGCACTTGGTGACGTAAGGCTTGGATGCAGCTGCTCGGCCATGGAAACCCATTCCATGAAGTTCTCTACTCACTGTTCTTGAGCTAATCTTAAGGCCCCATGAAGTTTGCAGGTCTGTAGCTATTGACACTGCAGACACTTGGTGACTTCTGCACACTGTGCGCCTCAGCATGCGTTGTCCCCGCTCTGTGATTTTACTTCGTGGCCGAGTTGCTATTGTTCCCAATTGCTTCCACTTTGTTATAATACCACTAACAGTTGACCGTGGAATATTTAGTAGCAAGGAAATTTCATGAATGGACTTATTGCACAGGTTGCATCCTATCATGGTACATACTGCAAAATAAAACAAATATAAGTGGAATCTGAGTCATGAGCTTTCCTATAATACCCAATATACAACATCCTAGTCATCTCCATTTAGTTAATCTCAGATTTCAGAATCCATACTCAGCACATTGTTCACACCCCCCTCCCTCCCCAAGAGACGGGTGGAAAAAAGAGCTGTGTTGTTACAAAGTCACTCTTCATTAGATAAAGGAGGCAGAACCAACAGCCAAACAGCACCGCTTATGAAAATGATGGATGCTGTTTAGAAATACTGAACTTGATGAACCCTCTATCTCCCGGCAAGTTAAAGCAGTGCTCCGACTATTTATAGCCATTTTGGTTGTGGAACGTGCTGAAATTTATAGTTTCCTGTAGCCAGCCTTTGCTACAGAGCCGCTTTAAGGGCTTTTACTTGAAAGGGGGATAAACAGAGACTCAGAGAGCCTCCAAGCTGTGAACTTTCCAGCTGAGAGCTGGAGGAGTAAGGAAACCTGACAGACAGCCCCTTGGGCGCAGTCTAAATAAAGGACTTATCTCAGACCCCAATGAAAAGGAAAAAAAAACATAAAAATAAGTAACTTGCTGTTGTCAAGAGAGATCACCGACTTACATTGACAGGCTCCAAGAAACACCAGTGAGTACAGAGCTTTCAAGTCCAGAACTTTAAATAGAACTTTTATTTTTAATCTTCAACTCCATTTTTCACAGTAACAAAAGCTCAGTTGGGGGTTTGGGGGGAGGCTGATCTTCAGAAGGCTGACTAATTGTAGGTCTGACTTTGGCAGGGCTGTGATTTGTCCTCATTTATCAGAAGCCAGCCTATTGTTTCTGGTCCGCTATCAAGGAATCCCCTGCCCTCGACAGAGCCTGACAGCGTGAATCCCCAGCGGACTAACCCAGGGAAAGTATGCCTTCCTCTTCAGCAGATACTGTACACACAATGGCATGCCAGATTTAAAAAGAACGCGACGTGGCTGCACTGTGTGCAGTGTTAGAAGCGGTCGTGATTCTGCCAGTACAGCTGCTGGTAATGAACGTGGGAGAAGCCAGGAAATGGTTGGTCACACAGGGCAACAAATACATAATGTGCAGAATGTGCAGACTTTTGTTTTTCAGGAACAGATATTGTGAAGTGGGCATTTTAGGGAAGTGCAGCTCCGGAGTTTGTAATGTCAGCTCGGAGCACAGTGCATTTATCCAAAGGGACATGCATTACTCCTTTTTAAGATGTTCGGTGTAAAATAATGCAGTGTATGTAAGTACTATGGGCAACTTAAAATTTTCCAGGTACGTGGGAGTCGAAGAGGCAGTGATGTGTGCAGGGACAGTGAAGGCACAATGTGGACCTTCGTGGGTTTACTGTGATGTCATAAACACAACTGCAGTCACTTTTTCCTCCCAGGATGAAATAGTCCAGAGCCTTTTCCAGAAGCAGATACTTTGCTATTCAGGAACAGCAGCAGATGCTCCATTACTCCAAGCTGAATAAAAGGCAAGAATTATAGATGCTGGGAGCAATTTGAGAACTACATTCATCCTGAGCATAAGGACTTAACCGAGAAAACCGCAAACCACCATAAATGCAGAGCATAGCGGCTAGAATCAAACCCGGGATATTGCTGGAATTACTTACTGAAATGCCTGGAGAAATGAAAAGAAACATAATTCATTTGCATTTGTTATTGCTGGAAATTTTTTACTATTGTGCCATTCCAGAAGGTACCATAAGGTTCTGGTCTTTGATTGCACGTTGAACCATGAAAAGCCATGAAGGTTTTAGCTCTGTTTCAGGCCTGAAACCATTAAGACCCATATCAATGTGGACTGCAATAAACAGGGCCTAACTGACTGATTTTTTGTTCACCTACAGTGGCATGCTAAAGTTTGGTCACCCCTGATCAAAATTTCTATTTTTGTGAATACTTAAGCGAGCATAAAATTAAACATGAAACATTATTTTCAACACTTTAAGGAATAATTAGTATATTATTTTTGTTTTGTACAATTTTAAAGTGGAAAAAAACTAAAGGAGCTCCATGCGAAAGTTTGGGCACTTCAAGAGATTTGAGCCAAAGAGATAACTTTCACCAAGGTCTCAGACCTTAATTATCTTGGTAGGGCTACGGCTTGTTCACAGTCATCATTAGGAAAGGCCAGGTGAAGCACATTTCAAAGCTTAATAAATACTCTGACTCCTCAATCCTTGTCCCAGCAATAAGCTGCCACAGGCTCCTCTGAGCACCTGACTAGCAATAATAAAACAATGGAATAATAACCAATAATAATAATAAAAATAAAATTATTGATGTCACAAGCAGAAGAAGGCTACAAGATGATACCAAAGCATTTCCAGGTAGCTCAGATCGTAATGTAATTAAGAAATGGCAGTTTCAGAAATGGTCAACATTTACAAGTTGAGGTTTGGAAGAGAAAGAAACCATTTCCGAGAGAACTGCTCATAGGATTGCTAGAAAGGCACATCAAAACCCCTGTTTGACTGCAAAAGACCTTCAGGAAGACTTAGCATCAGAAGTCTGCAAATGAACATCTAAACACGCCTGATGCATTTTGGAGACCAGTTGACCAATGAAGAACTTTTAGGTAAAGCAAAGGAATGTTAGGAGAAAATAGGGTGCAGAATTTCATCTGAAGAGCACCTTTACAAGTGTTAGGCATGGGGTTGTGTTGCAGCCAGTGCATGAGGAACATTGCCCTGGCAGAAGGAAGAATGCATTAAATTAAATACCTGCAAATTCTGGAAGCAAATGTCAGACCATCTGAAAAAAAGAGGATGGCTTCTACAAGATAACGGTTCTAAGCACACCTCAAAATCGACAAAGGACTTGTCTTAAGAGCAACAAATTGAAGGTTCCCTGACCTAAACATCATTAGGTAGGTTTCCAAACAAGTGATTTTATGTGCAAAAGCACTTTAACACTAAAAAGTGGTCAATGGAAACTTTTTCCATTTATTTTTAGCAGATAAAGTCAAGTTTGGCAACATTTAGCAAAAAACTACGGTGGAAACATTTTTTACAAGAAAGAATGGCATTTACGCAAAAGTTTTAACAAGTGTCAGGACTTTTATCATGTGTCTTTCCTACAGCAAACACGAACTTGCACACTGTGCAAATAGAGCAGTGGACTGTTGTTTTGCTGACACCAAATGCTTGTCTCACGCTCTATACTCGGCGCAGGTTGCCAGTTTGTACAGAGTAACTGCAATGCGCTTTTGGGTTGGAACTGGTGGTTGGTGGCTGCCTATTACTGGCCCAATAAAAGGTCCTATGTGCCGGCATTTGAAATATAAAACTGAATTTGTCGAAACTGACTGAGATCATAAAATGTTTAAGCCAGAGGTTTGGTGTGGTGGATGAATAAACATGTACAGTTTTGACTAATTGAGCTAATGAAATTATTTTAAAATGTCCAATGCTCATTAATTCCCTGTACAGGCAGTCTCCGGGTTATGAACGAGTTCCGTTCCCTAAGTCTGTCTTTAACTCTCTGGAGACGGATATCCCACCCGTATTTTGTCATAGAAACATTTAAAAAATGCCCCCAGAAACGTACTTTTCAAATATACATAGGTAGAAACTAAATATATTTTTAGAGCTTTGTAAGGAGAATAAAGTCCAGTGTCTGAGTCCTGAAGCAGCGCTGATCGCCCACCCATTTGCAAATAGCGATATTCATATGATAACGATATGATAATCACAGGGATGTTATTGGGTGAAGAAAACACGTGAAAATGCCCATAAAAAAAGCACATGTCTGGGTTTTGTTTACACTGACTGGGGACCTGAAACCCTTTATTTTGTGATTTGAGAGAGGAAATGTGGTGAAAATATATTGCTTCAATTCATGGATAACTGTGAATTTGGGTAAGCAGTAAAATTACAAAATTTCCCTTGTTTTCTAATTTTGATTGCTACTGTAAAAACGTGTCTTTATAAATAGATGCAAACTGTTGGTAACTAGGTGGTTATTTTAATGTTTTTCATTATCTTTATGAGATTTTTTTGCAAGTATAAGACTACAAAGCAATCGTTTTGTTTACCTTATGTTTCTCATGTCGTAAATAGCTTAAAATAGTATTGTTTGTATTTGCTGGAAAGAAGATTTTACTTAAAATATTAACCTTTGCAGTAAAAACATTTGTATAATTCACATAAATGATGCAACGGTGGTACGTTTCCCAAAAGCATAGTTGCTGATTATGTTAGTGACTTACAGAGTTAGAACAATGCAGCTGAATCTAAGTTGCTAAAGGAGGCTTTTGGGAAATGTGTCCCAGTTCAGCAGTAAAATGTAAATATATTTTGCGGAGTATTCCATTGTGGCGTTTAGCAAACTGAAGCATGGCAGCGGCAAAAACAAAAATAAAAAAGATGGTTTCTGAACAAAATGGCCTTCTTATTGTAGCCATAAAGGCACTGTCCACAAATAACCACACTCCCACTGCATGTAATGGAGACACACGAGGTCTGATGCTGAACTGTGAGGTTCACACATGATAACTACTTACAGAGAACATAGAAACATGCGAGTGACTGGCACAGATCGGGGCACATACAGGTACTGTAAACACACTTACATAAACTGAAGACACAGCCCAAGTATTTAGAACACCAAAAACAAACAGGGCTATGTGAATGCTGGGATACGGTAATAGGATCCGCTATGCAGAACCATGTCACCCGCGCTACAATATTATTATATATACAAAAACTCCTTGGAAGTGCAAAGCAGGTAATGTGTACCTCTGCCTTCAACCCAATAGAAACTGTTTTGAAGTGTGTGTGTGTGTGTTTGTGTGTATGCACGCATAAAAATACAACTGCCACAGTCATGGTGTACTTTCTTCCAACCATGACCAAGATTCTGCTTGTTTTGAGTTTCATTTTTGCATTTCAGCACCTTGATCCCCTGAGGCCCTCAACCGCGATAGAAGAACAACTGGAACAAAATAAATCCAGCCTGGATCCTGCTTTGTATGGTAGAGCTAAAATAGCTTAAATTTCTTTTCAACAACTATATACGGGTTAATTTAAAAATATGAGGCTTTAACTTCTACTATGTTATCTGCTTTTGTTGGTCTATGACAAGTAATGTTATAAAATTCTAGATCCTATTTCCAGAGCGAATTTAAGTTTTATGGATTTTCCTGGACCTGTACTGTATGTCAAACAAAAACATGCAGATGAAAGACATTTTTACCTCTTTGGGCGAGAGTATTGAGATGTAATTCTCATAGATCATCCGTGCCTTGTCCTCAATGGCGGATTTGTTTATCTCCTTCTTGAGGTCCTCGCAGGCCATCCAGAACAGCATGTTCTCCTCACTGTACTCAGTCCTTAAGAATTCCCTGAAGACGTTTCGACCAGCCGGGTTCTTCATCATCTTGTCGAAGGAGTGTGCCCATAGCTGCATCTCATCCACTGTTGGTTTGGCGCTGTAGATGCAGGAACGCCACAGATCAAAGACGCACTATGATCGGTCAACAACACCTAGCGCCTTAAACATCGGAAAATTCAGCCTCAATTCTCAGGACAAACAACCGACAAACCATAAAGATCCCAAACATTACCACCCCTATGACACCATTAAAGCCCCCACGAAACATTGGCCTATACCCATCCACACAAACATACTCTGACAGGTACTTCACTCACCACACGCACCCAACTTCTCTGAATCTTTATCAGGAACATGTTACACCCACGTGACAAAAGCATGCAATCACCATGCAACTGCATCCTTGTGATTCTGGTTGACTACAAGTAAAAGAATAGGGGGGCTGAAGGAGACCTTCCTGACCCGTTATGAGAGAGCAGGGGGAACCTACGTTAGCGTCTGGTATGTGTGTGTGCGTGTGGGCGCTCACCAAGGTTCATAGTTTGGTATGGGCTCCAACTTGGTCTCCAGGGACTTCCTTCTGGCCTGACCGCCGTCTTCATTCCTAACAGTAAGACTGAAAGGTGGTGAAATGGCATTGAGAAATAACTGCACAGCCTACACCTCAAGTCTGGTCAGACTCTGCTGAACACACACACACACACACACACACACATAAAGATGCTCGCATGTGCACATGACTGCAAACAGACGCATGCAGACATGGAGCAGGACACATGGACTTTCCCTGGAATTGGGCCACAAAAAAACCCGCCTTTTAGAAAACGGTACAATTATCAATGTGACACACTCAGACATGTAATACCAACACACCAAAGGGCACATAACCAAGATATTTTTCTTCTCTTTCTTTGATCTCCTTCACATTTACTCATCATGACACCTCTTGCTTCCTCCCTTCCTGTTTGCTTCTGAATCAGTTTTAACGGAAGGCAGAGTGACAGTTTCTGTTATTCTGAAGCAGGACATTATCTGAAGAAACTAAAAGCCAGTCAGCAAAGGGCAGGCTTTAGGACCAGGGGGAGCATGGGGCACTGGGGCCTCTCAGGTCTTGCACCTGGCATGGGTCGGTAGGCGCTGGACTCTCAACAGGGTCGCGTGACGGGAGGTTTAGACAGCCGTGCTGTCAAACGGCCATGCTTTTCTCCCCCAGTTGCTTTCCGGAAACGCAAAGACACGAGAAACAGTTCCTGTTTTCTGGTGCCTCCTCCCTGCAAGATGCTTAGCCCCACCCCGGCTCCAGCAGGGTTTCTGCATACCCCTTAATGCCAAACGAGTCACCTGAGGTTTCTCAAGTGAGACACCCCCCCCCCCCCTTAACCTCAGAGTGTACCTGCTGGCTCCTTTCACCACCAGCCACAAACGGTGCTGTTAAACAGTAAATGTGAAAGATGAAAATGAGAGTCAGGAGAAGCGACTGGCTGTTACACCTTAACGGCGGTCAAACAGAATGTTCTTACACTAACGGAAGTTTTTCCTGAATATTACAGTCTGATTACACCAGTTAGTAAGACCAAACCTTTCACACCACTGCAAAACATAACGATCAGTCTATCTGGATATCTTTAGATGGGGGGTATAAAACAAAAGCTTAATCTGCATGTAATCTCTCAATCTGCATGAATTAAATGCCCTGTATGTTTGCAATATTCTAATGTTTTACTTTAATTGAGACAGAAAATGTTTTCTTCCTTTGTGAAACGTGCTGTCTGTAACTGGGCAGGTAACTGTGAGCGTGTGAGCTTGACACACATGTTGTTTTGTGAGTGTGTGACATACGAGGAGCCATTCCTGATGGGATTTGTGTGTGCAGGACCACTGGGGTGTCAGCACAGTGCCTAGCATGCAAAGCTTCTGCTGAAAACAGAGGGCAGATCACAGGCGGGGGGCAGGAATAACGCCATGCCACTGGGACCAGTTGCCATGTTAGGTCCTGTACTTTCTATAAGTGTAGTGTATTTCACCTTCCCATCAAAGAGGAACATAAACATGAATTAACTATAGTTAGTGAGATGATTTTTCTCACTGTCTGCATCTGCTTCCAGGTTAAAATCCTCAGGGACGTACGGTAGAAGAGACACCCTGTGCATGTGAAAGACGATGTTTTGCACGACACTTCATTCTGGCCATATGAAGGGATGCAGTAACATGGCCAATGAAGAAGGGGTGCATAAAGAGCTTAAAGAAGTAACGATCGACGAGGATAACAATACACAGAGATCTGGCCAAGGGTCTAGCGCACGCATTTCACACATACTCTAAATAAAAGAGTAATGAAAATGTAAACATGCAGAGTCACGGTCGGCGCGTGGCGCAGCGCTGGCGGGATGCGGGGACGCAGAAGGAGGGGCTTCAGCGACAGACATACCATGAGCAGCTACAGCAGCAGCACCAGCAGAAGCAGCAGGCGTTGGGCCGCTGCGTGGGGCCCCTGCGGGCCCTGCTGGGAGACGTCTCACTCCGCACCATGGGGCTCTCTCGCTCTGCCGGGACAGGACCTGTGTACTGAAACACGGGCACGGGTCAGTCGCCGGCTGCCCCTCCCTGGACCCTGCCATGTCACTTATAGCAGGAACACAGTATTCTAGCAATGTCACAAACACCATATTTACCAATATGGGTCTTTGCAGACATTACTGACAGGGCCGGTCAGTCCTATAGGCCAGTGGGTCTCAAACTGTTTGCCTGAAAACCACCAAAAAGCAGTGATCCAGTCTCCTGATCCTTTTTTTTTCTGAACCTCTGATCTCACGGCAAAGACATTGTTTCAGGGGTGACCATTGTTATCCAGAAAGGGCCAGTGTGTATGCTGGTTTTCGTTGCAACACTCTAATTATATTACTAATTAGAGGACTGATTGGCTGAGGAGTCCTCACACCTGGGTTTGAACAGCTGACCTACAGGTTATCCCAAAAACCTGCATACACACCGGCCCTTTGCGGATAAGACTGCCCACCACTCTTCTATTTTATGAGTATTCAACAATAAAATCTGCTGACCCAAGTGGGGGAGGCTGTCCCCCATGATTAAATTCACCAAGAGGGCGGGAGGGGGACAATTCTGGGGTGGGGGGCAGGGGGAGTGCAGACAAAAAAAGGATTAAATTTTTTTTTTTAGAATATTCAGTAGAACATCACGCGACTCACAGTTTGAGAAGCACTGCTATAGGTGTCAAAGGCAGCGGCCCAGGGTGCCAACCAGGAACTGCTGACAGCCGGGCACATGCCACACAGAGTCTGAGACACAGTAAACTGGCTTGGCTGCAATGTGGGGCTCCGGCCTCTGAGGGGGCATGACTTAGCCAGCCAATTTCACTTTGTCCAGAAAATTTTTAATAGGGCAGTCACATGATTCATTTTTTAAAATAGCAATTAATCACACATCTTGCCAATTAACTGCACATAAAATCAAGTTGCAATACAATCAAAAACAAGATTATAGTTTGTATATTCTGTATACTGTATTTGCTCAAACTATTCTCCCATTGGGTGAAATCAAAATTAATGCAATTAAAGTTAACGTGATCAAAGAAATAATAATGTGTTATGACTTCAAAGAGCATATTGTTTCTGATATATTACTGTTATCGTTATTATTATCAGTGATTATTCTATCATTACATAATGATATGCAATTTCTTTACTCCCTTTCTTTGAGCATTTATTTTGCCACTGCTGGAGAAGCTGGTCTGGGTGCCGCATGGGCGCCGTCCAGCCCCTAGGCGTCGGTCTTCATTGCTCCTAATGCTGCTACATGTCAGCGTCTTGGTGCAGTCTGAGGCCCCACAGGGAGCAGCCAACCCCAGCTTACAGTCCCCATGAAACACCAGGTAACACAGGAACCATTCATGTAGCTGATTAATTGAGCTCTCTTGTTCTGGAATATTACAAGCAAACCTGGTGCAGTGGAGATAAAATAGGATGACCAGCAACAACGTGGATGAATATAATCAGCACAAGGGTGAACATGCTACTGTGAAGGCCTGAAGCTCCGGAGAGAAGATGGAACGTCCATATGGCTGGCAGGAGTTCACATTGACTTCACTATTCCTAATAATAATAATAATATTTTCATTTCGGTGAGGGGCATGAAAAGACGCTAACTGTCTCCAGAGAGGACTGGGAATTTCCATGATCTATGACTCAGGGGATGTCTGTCTTCATTCATTTCAATTCTTAATTACTCTGTCATAATTTGTGCTGTAGATCACCGCAGCTGCTCTTTCAGGTGTAACTGAAAAATAACTATTTCAATTTTAGGTTTTCTCTTGCTTGTAGACTGGAATTAACTAGAGATGGGCGATCCACATTTTTTCAGTTCCGATCCGATTCCGATACACAACTGCCGATACCGATAAAGATTCCGAAACAAGAGCTCTTTTTACTTTGTTATACTTTATATATAATTTTTTTAAGCTAGTAAATACAGATGGAAATAATGTATGACAAAAAATATTTAATTAGGCTACTACAAACATACATAACGTACTGTTCCACCTGATTTGTTTTAAGCGTTTTTGAGGCATTTGCAGTTCAATACGAATATCTTCAAAGCTAGTATACACAAGTGGCGAATGCTTAAAATTTTAACAATTTTAATTTATTTTTCTCCCATTGGCGTCAGCGCACTTACACTTTGTTGCTATGGCAGCCCCTCTTGTATCACAAGCTGCAGCGAGTTCGCAAAACAGTCCAATTAAGTTAGCGATTCCCAAATCATCCATTGCTTTGTTTTATCTCGCAGTTGCGTGTGCTTTGTTAAATGGGATTGTCCATTAAACGCTATTCCCACCTCAAAACTTTATTTTACATAGATTGCAAATCGCTGTGCTACTGGTTTCTGTTAAAAGCGTAAAATACTCCCAGATCGTCATGTTTTATCTTACGCTCCTCGTACTGCGAAGGGTATGTGCATGACGTCACAGCAGGCGGAAGTCACTGTACTCACACCCACTGAGTGGCAAAAAAGACTGAGGGGCAGCAATAGCATTCGATTTGAATGCCGCAAAAAAACACATGTAAAATGGGAAAGACCTGTCGTGCGATTGATTGGCAAAAACTAAGTAAGTATAGGACGTGGATCAGTCATGCATGCTGGATACCCGATCCGTCAAATAGGTCTGGATGGGCACCGATACCAATCTGAATATCGGTATCGGTGAATCTCTAGAATTAACCCCCACAACAAAAAACCATGAATCATGGTCTCTCAGCTTAGCAGGCAACACAATGTGTGTTAAGATCAGAGCCACTGGTTAAATGAATAAACTCTGGACTCATTTACACTGAGGTTTGCCAAAAGTACAGTACAGACCTTTGTGTTATTCATACCTCGCTGTGCACAGGGATGGTAAATTAAATGACAATAGCAATAATTTGAATTAGAACCGGTCAACGTGACAGGTCATATGAGTGAGTCACAAGCAGTGACCATCATCTCCATGCCATGGACGGTGACCTCCTCCTCTGAGACATACTTGGTAGTAGTGTGATCTGTTAATACTGTACATCGATGAAGAAAAGTGAATAGATAAACGACTGAATAAACCCAACACTAATGCCACCCGCCACCCGTTTGACTCCAGTGGCTATTTTTAATCAACCCTTAATTCCTTTCTGATTAAATCCCTCCTACCTGCCATGAACAGTGAAACACCTGCACTTTATGTCAGGCATCTGTACTGTAAGTAACAACAAAAAGTTACAAAGTAACAAAACAGAACAGAACCAACACAATGGACGGCTACAGAAGAGCGCAAAGCGGAGACATGCCAGTCGTGCTACGTTACAAACACATGGATGGATGGGATTTCAGAAAATTCCTATCAGACAGCGCATCAGAGGGCAGATCCCAATGAAAGCCCCCAGATCTCTTCCCTTGAATCTCATGGTTCGGGAAGCGTAATGTGGGTGCGCACACAAGCATGAGTGGAGTTTAAGTAACAGTGCCAGGAATAAAACGACAAACGCACTCTGGCCCAGTCTGAACCCCAGTAGATGTGGGTGCATGTTTCCCAGCATCCTTCAGGCTTCTTACTCCGGTATTTTTTTCCCATTTTGTCCTGGCATTCACTATCACTATATTTTTAACTGGTAGCCTAAAAAGGCAACCCTACAACAAGGTTTACAGCTTCATGCAATGTTCGCCATTTGGTATTCACTGGTGAAGAACTGGCCTTGGTTTTTTTTTTTTTTTTAAAGTTTTCCTGCTGGGGGCTCTCGAAATCACTCAAATGCACCAACAGCAGAAAGCCTGCAAATGCTTCCGGGGATTAAAGCCATAATATAGCTTCTGATACTTCTGTTTCAGTATGACACTGAGCTCTAGCTACAAACCTGCCCCCATCGTCTCACCCAGCCTCCGTCATGCTGACGCTGCCCGCATCGCCACCTGCCACACAGCAGTTCAGCTAGCATGGAGCCGGTGCCCTCGCCTCTGTTTGGGCTACAGACTCTGTAGGGGGCTCTGCAAAGTGAAGAATCAGTTCAGTACCTGGAACACCCAGGACAAATCAGCACAGGGTGTCCCAGATGGCCATGAAATTACGCTGCCCCCCGACTGGCTGCGGCCTCAAGCCTCGCCTTGACCCCACAGCGTAGGCTACCCAGCCTGCAAACGCCTCAAACTCACATCCTCCCTGAGCCATCATTGCTGCCCTTAACTGGAGAGGAGTTAGCGGCCAATGGTGGAGTGCCGAGAGGGGTAGGGTGTTACAGCCCAGCTCCGATGAAAATGAAAGACAAAAAAACCACGGCAAGTCTCTGGCCAGCATCTATGTTTACTAATGATCTAATTCGGGCAGGCGCCCCACTCCGTGGAAAGAAGCTTTTGGGAAACCTGGTTCTTTGGTGGGAGGGGGGACATGAGCCAGGAGTAGGAGAGCCTGCATTACAGAGCAGTGATGCCACGGGGGTGGGGGTGGGGGGTACGTCATTGCAGAGGGCTTTTTCCATGCCCCCTGCCAATGAAAACATTTGGCGCAATACAGATAAGGCCGAGACAACTCGGGCAAATGAGAAGATGGCCGTGACTGGCGATGTGACCGTCGCAATTCAGATTTTACTCATTGACAGTTTTCACTAACTCAACAATCCTGTGCTCACTGTAATTTTGCTAGATAGTATTGACCGAGCGCCTGTCCGAGATTTTAATGACATTCCCTACACTGATAACTGCTAGGACACACATTATTTCAGTCTGAACGCTTTTACATGTATGTTACAGGCAACTGTAACATTTTACTGCATTTTTTTCTGCAACTTTGCTATGGGTTAGATTTTGGACTCACATGAACATAACAGTTTGTGCTGTGTAGGTTTCCCCCCCCCCCCATAACACTTAATATTTAAGAGCCAAGTCTATTATGTATGTGTGTATGTGTGGGTATAAAGGTGTGTATATACACACACACACACACACACACACACATATATATATGCATGTATTTTTTAAGAAGTATGTTATGTGCCAGGCCTTCCAAAGAAAATCAATAAAGACTTGAATGC